CTGTAGGATCAAATAGAATAGCAAAAGTGGGAATATTAAATGCACATTATCACCTAAAGTCATAATTCTAACCCTTCATTTTTCATGTCACACCTGGAACTAACAAGTACAGCATGAACACTCTTACTGGTCAATGATATAATCCAGAAAGAACTACTAGTCTACTATTCAACAATTTCATTTTTCAATTTGCCATCCTATTAAAATCATCCGGTGGCAAACTATCTTAATTCCATGTATGAACTCAGCTCACAAACACAGAACATATGTAACTGAATAGACCCACTAAATTTTAAATCAAGAAATACTGCAAAGTTGACTTTACTCATAGAGTTATACATGAAAAGAACTCATTGAAGAATGCCTTACTTCAGCCTCGGCAGCAGTGGAATTGAAAAACTTAGCCTCTGTTTCTAAATCCAATAGACTGGCTTTTAAAGCCCCCATTTGAGATTCCAAAGTCTTTTCTCTCCTCTTCAAAATCTCCACTGTTTGCTTCGATGTTCTCTCTGCATAGTATGCATCTCCTAATAATACCTATAGCCATAAAAATCCCTAACAGAATTAGTATATAAGAGTAAACAACCCCTAAAAGACTAAATGAGAAGAGGTAAAGATGTTACCAAGAACTCATTTGTATGGATTAGTCGGCCTGGGAAAAATGCTGCACTCCCAAATGGAACCTGAGCAACAACCAGCTTTAAAAGGTGAAAATCCCAACTTTCAAGAGTTTTTTTTTTTTTTGGAACTAGAAATGTAACAACTATTCACCAAATAGAAATTACACGAGAATTTCTACACGTCTAAAGGTCAAATACTGGGGGTGGGGGGGGGGGGGGGATCCAATTAGCATAGGGGATGCTGATGACAAAAAATCAAAAAATCTTATGGAAATATTAGAGCAGTGGTCTTCGTTCGTGGTTACTACTACAACATTTTGCTAAAGTTAAACTTTGAAAAGCTGAAGGTAGGGGTATTTTGGCAAAAGAATGGAATTTTTTGTACCATGATTTCGTGGAGATTTCGTCGGGGAGTTGGCGACGAGCTCTTTAGGGCTGAGTTGTCGGCGACGAAGGTTTGGAGGCGATCGATTTCTCCGCGGCGGTCGGCGATGGCGGCTTTGATGCGCTCCGATGCCTTTGAGCTTCTCCGACGGGAATAGAGAGCCAAGGGGGGTGACCGTAGCCTTATCCGGACCGGAACCCACCATGATTCTCTCTCGCTCTCTAGAGACTAGGGTTTTGGGGAGGTTCTCGCTTTTTCCGAAGAAACAAAATTTGTTTTGAAAGGCTCCAGTGCTAATTGGTCTGTAAATTTGTGGGTTTTTCGGATTTTAGATATATGCACTCTTATTTTTAAATGAGCCCCTCACAATATTGAAATTGTTTTTTAGCCCCTTAATTCATACAACTTGCTTCAAATTAGCCTTCAAACTGCAGTGTGGGTTGGGGAAAACATTCCGTTAAACTTAACTCTCTGTTTTACACTATCTTGGACTCGGTTCCTGGTCTCCTCATTATCATTTATCACAAAAAAAAAAATCGTTTTTTGACTTGAATATGACTTGCGTGGTAAGAATTCAAGTCATCCTAATTGAATTTGGATTGACTTCAACTTTGGCTAGAAAATTATAATAATTGAATTCTAACTAAAAGAATATTAGGATTTGAACATTACAATTACTAGCTAGAAAATAATAGTTAAATTTTTCCTTCATTTTTTTTAAAATTCAGCTTCACTAGAAGTCACAATCATATGCTGATTAACTTATTCATGAACGTCAGTAGATTTTCTATGAGAAATCTAGCTGTCAACATTTTTTCTTGAGAAACTAGAAGTATATTTATATGTTTATGCCCCTGAAAGGTTTACTGGAAATTAAACCAACAGATGTTGAAAAGGGTTCAAAATCTTGTAAATAGCCATCACAACTGCTTGTTATCCATGGGCATTCCGTTTTATTACCCTCATTCTGTATTAAGTTGAGACTTAAATCAATACTTCAAATGTACATAAGTGTACAGGTTGCATAGGCTTAAAAAAATTGATTTTCCTTCTTTCACACATCCTGCTTTCCTTTGTTTTACCACTGCAATGTCATAACCAGAGGCTCAGTACGAAACTTCCATGAACTCTACAATTGTATCAATCATAAGTTATCATTCTGATCACATTTCCATTGAATGCTACCAGTAATCAGCGCAGGAACATTGCCCGTCCCTGAAATGATGAAACCTATGTGAATCCCTAATGACGATCTCTCGTCCCTCAAGCTTCGCAATCAGCTTGATCGCCGAATGGCAATCGCTGCACACGCGAAGATTCTTGATGATCAAGATCGACGATCCTGGAACTGTATTCAAAATTACGAAAGCCACAGCCAACTTCTCGCTATGAACTCTCAACACCGTCTCCTTCTCCTCTTCATCGACATCATGAAGCACAGACCCAGTGTCAGGAACATACCCAGCTTCTTGCATTCTAACCCTAAGCTTCTCCAAATAATCATATATCTCTTTATGTCTCGGATGCCTTCTATCGCCAATCATAAACAAATGACTCTTCCCCTTGAGCTCAACCAGACTATACCCAGGTTGTTTCACGATTCCTTTGTTCTTGATAACGACTCTCATTCTTTCAACATCTTTCCATCTTCCAGCATCAGCATAGATATTCGACAGCAAAACGTAATACCCACTGTTCTTCGGGTCTAATTCGAATAACTTGTTTGCAGCAATCTCTCCGAGCTCGACATTTTTGTATGTACGACACGCACTGAGGAGAGCACCCCAGACGACAAAATCAGGCATAATTCTCATTTCTTCAATCAGACTATAGGCTTCATCAAGACATCCCGCACGACCAAGGAGGTCCACAATACAACCATAGTGTTCGACCCCAGGGTCTATTTCATAATCCTGTTTCATTGATTTGAACCAGAATCGACCCTCGTTGACAAGTCCAGAGTGGCTACAGGCAGCAAGGACAGAGACGAAAGTAATGTGGTTTGGTTTAACTCCTGATTTCAACATTTCGGTGAAGACATCGAGGGCTTCTTTTCCTCGGCCATGCATGCCATAGCCTGCAACCATGGCAGACCATGATTTAATGTTCTTGACATTCATGCGATTGAAAGCTTTTCTTGCCATCTCGACTCTTCCACATTTGCAGTACATGTCGACCACTGATGTGCCAACATACACGTTTTCTTCGAGCCCCATTCTAATCACCTGTTGAAAACATCAAATGATGTTCATATGAAAAACATACACGTTCATTAAGAAGGATTTAATGAAGTCCAGATACAAGAAAAGGATGCCCTCCTAGTTTGACACAAGTCAGAATATAAACTACAAAATGAAAACAATTGTGGTTACAGTATGCGTACAAAATATCCATATGTAAAAACCAAATGATTATACACAGACTCAGTCTGAAAGACAAGCAAATATCCGAGCAGACCAGCAATGAAATTAGACATTTTTAGAGACTGGATTAATAATCATTTTGTTTTTCCAATGTATATGTTGTTTTAGAAACTAGATTTACGTATTTCCCTGTTGAGCTCTCCTTTAGATTGGGGGTAAAGTTAAAGGATTACAATTCACGGTTTCTATCAAGAACAGCTAAATTTTTAGTGCACCAGAAAGTATCTACCATTCGCAAATTGCGTTACAATTAAGTAGCCCCACATGTACTTACTATGATACAATCATAAAAATACTTTTCACTTATAAATTTATATCTTAATAACAATAATAATACTGGAGAAAAGATTATAATTGTGAACAAAACTAGGCTAATAATCACCTGATCATGTACGCACTTCCCAACCTGCAGCGCACCCGCATGCGCGCAAGCAAGCAGCACAGCCGACAACGTCACTGCATTATGCTTAGTCCCTCTCCCTCCCCTCATCGATTCGCGTATACACCATCCAGCCGCCTCCCGCGCCCAGCCCATTTCCTGCGCAGTAAACGCAACCATCGTGTTCCACTCACCACGTCCCTCTCCTCCATTCATCAGAACACCTTCCTACTCACCCCCACACCCCCTCCCTTGCGGCGGACGCATCCATTAAGTATTCCCACGGAAACCTCCCCCTCGAGCCGCCGCCTTCACCGCCAGGCCGCGTAGGGCCCCACCTAACCAGTTTTCCCCCTGGACCCTCGAGCTCGCCGGCTTAAGCAGAGACCATCGCCTGCCCGGGGGGAGTCCAGTTTCTCCGCCACCCGAGATCGGCAAACAGTTCTTTTAAAACATGAAAACGCGCTCATGTAAGCAGCGAGTTGCAATGTAGCCGTGAACAGAGAGAGGTGCTAGACGACGCCCGTTTCGGTTGGAGATCGTCGAAACACCTGCGGGCGTCGGCGACCGGCGAGCCACTTGGAGTATCATGTCGACGAGGGAGGGAGGCGACGAAGAGTACGGGTGGCCCGAGGCGGAGGGCGGAGGAGGCTGGAGCTGGCGCCGGAGGGAGTGAGGGGAGCGGCGCGGACTGAGGCGGGAGGAGGGTGCGAGCGTCGGGGGCGAGGGAAATGCGGCGGAAGAGGCAGAATGGCGAGAGGGCCTCCTGAGGTTTCCGGACGGCGAGCGTCGCGATGGCGCGAGTTCCATTGAGGAGATTGAGGGCTTGTCGACGACGCGCGGAGAATGGCGGCGAGAGCCGCTGGGGAGGCTCATTCATATTATAGTTAGATTTCTGCGTCTAGATCATAATGTTAGCTAAATTTTTTTATAATTATATAATCTGCGTTCATAATATACAAATTTGAATCCTGTACACTATCAGCACTGTTTTTAAACTGTTTTTACTTAATTTTTCTTTATTATTTAATTAATGTTAGCAGACGACCGCGATTCATTCAAAGTATGACACCAGTCATACTTCTCATAATTTCATTTGCTTGTACTTCTTGCTCTTCTAAATTCCAATCCATCTAATTAGTAATGATTTTTCGGCTACTTTTTTTATAAGGGCCTGTTTGGTACATTTCTGAAAAAATTGAGAAAACAGAAATATAGAAATGAAATGATTTCAAAACATTTCTAATTTGTTACCCCATTTTCTTTTATTTTGTTTGTTTAACAGTGAAATGAGGGGATTGAAATGTATGAAATTGCTTTCACATGTTTGTTTCACCACTTTGAAAACAAGAAATGAGCCCAACAATTAGATTTCCATTTCCTGTGTTTGTTATGCACAAACAACCCAGACTGATCAGCACATAACTGCCAAAGCCTTGGTGAGCTTACCGCTCCCAAACATCAACACACAAGACAGCTCTCAACGGCTAGTAGGCAACAACGGTCATCTTTTAAAAACCTCCAACAACGCCTGCTGGGTTCAAAACATGAGAACAGCTATATAGTGTGGAAGGGGGGGGAAGGGTGGGGGTTTACAGTTGCAAACAAAGCCAGAAGCTCCAGAAGAAGTCACACTTGTCTATCCTGGAGGCTGCTTCAAAAAAAATTCCGGATTGCCCTTGTTCCATGCCATTGCTTGGTCATGGCTGCTGCCCAAAGAGGTAAGAACAAATCTCCTGAGATGAAATGCTTATGCAATATACCAACACCTTTGAAGCAGTGCAAAATAGGTTCGAACAAGGGCAAATATTTTTGGGGATGTGCCAAATACCCAAATAGAGCATGCAAATTCTTCAGGTGGGCCGAAGAAGAACAGGAAATCAAAAAGAGTGAAACCAGTAAAGAGGAATCCACTATTCAATCGGTATCCGAATTAAAAGAGATGGAAACAATGTATTTGCGACGAGAATTGAAGCATGCAATGCAACAAGTTGATTATTTGAAAAAATGTATTCAAGTTTTAGGAATATTCAGTATTTTCTTTGTTCTTGTAAACATTGTAATCTGCACATTGAAATAGCATGTAACTGTCTTGTGTAAACATTCTGGTTACAAGTTATAATGCAATTCAACATTTTCGTTTGTCAAGAAACCAAGGCAATTCCAATACTTCATAGAAATGGAATTGTCTACTTTGTCATATATCCAACAAGTCTTGAACGTTGAATAATTGTGCTCAAGTAAACGTCAACTTCATCATATATTCATCACCATCTATCTATTGCATACAATGTTGGCTGCATTCCACAGTTTGGACTGTCTCGCCATATCATCGCATGCATTAAATTCTGGTTTAGAATATCAGAAACCATGATATTTCATCACTGCACAAATAGGGACTGTGCAAAACCAAAAATCCAAGATGAAAGGCCAAAGCTACATTGTTTAACCCACTGAAAGATTACAAAAAATCAGTAAAAACTATGGGTTTCCAGCAGCAGTGAGGCAAATGAGTACCACACAAGAACAAAACAGTCAACAAAGAGCACAATATATCATTTCAATTCTATATATCTGTTTTCCCAATTTTTTCAGAAATGTACCAAACAGGCCTGATCAAACCAGAAAATCCAAGAAGAGGCCAAAGCTTCATTGTTTAACCCACTGAAAGATTACAAAAAATCATGACAGAAACTGTGGGTTTCCAGCAGCAGTGAGGCAAATGAGTACCACACAAGAACAAAACAGTCAACAAAGAGCACAAGAAATCATTTCAATTCTATATATATGTTTTCCCAATTTTTTCAGAAATGTACCAAACAGGCCTGAGCAAACCAGAAAATCCAAGGAGAGGCCAAAGCTTCATTGTTTAACCCACTGAAAGATTACAAAAAATCAGCAAAAACTATGGGTTTCCAGCAGCAATGAGGCAAATGAGTAACACACAAGAACAAAGCAGTCAAAAAAGAGCACAAGAAATCATCACATGCTACGTTACCTGATCCCATCAATTTCAACAACATATTCTAAAACATTACCTAGAACGTTCAACTCTTGTTAATGACCTGCAGCTCTGGAAAAGATGGTGACAAAACTCACAAATAATCAGCACTGTGTACAAAAATAATCAGCTGATAAGGTGAGTCAAAAGCTGCTAATAATTTTCAAAAGCATGAGCTGATAAGGTGAGTCAAAATTGTCCAAATAATCAGCAGTGAGGTGTTAAGAGAGGATCAAGTTTTTTGGCTCAAATAGGACCCTACTTCATCATATATTCGTCATCAGCAAACGAGTGCATGACAAAGTTGGCTGCATGCCCGATAGTCTTTACTCTTAGCTCAAAAATTGGAGGTGGGCAACTGCCTTGCCAAATCATTGTTTGCAGTAATTGCTGGGTCAGAATATCAGAAACAAGCCCAACTCAACATTACGCATGTGTCAGCTGGTTGTTTACCACATTCGAAAACCAGCCATGAGTCACAATGGGTGAAGCCTCAATTCAAAAGACCACAGAACATCAATAGGCATAGAGAAACACAATAACGTATGGCAATGTGTCAAAAGAGGAACAATACTATGCCTTTGTAGGGCATGAATCTGCGGGCTGTTAATGATATTACAAACATACCAGATCTAGAAGTTTAAACAACATAATAGCTTCATGGTCTTTTCCCGTGCAAAATAAATATGGTAGTAGCTATCTACACACCGTTCCTGCAAAATATATAACCAATCAGCACGTACAACAACATGCAAGAGGAACAAGTATAAAAGCACCAGTGCTGAAACTACCTTCCCCCCCCCTTGCATCTTCATGAAATTGTCCAACAAAGCCCTTTGTCCATAGTCACTCTTACCTATAAAATGCCTCGCTTTGGTTTCATTTTCAAATGTCGTATCATAAAAGTGCTCAAGGACTTCTATAGGGTAAGAGTCTTTGTGTCTGAAGATGGATGTTGACAATTTCTCAGACCAGTGCTGATTAACAAGGTTGAGGGATGAGGAAAAGTGTTTAACTTCATCAACCATCTGTTGCATGATGTCACGACCAAGGTCTGTCTTCTTCGCACGACCTTTCACGGATGACATTTTTTTGGAAGGTCCTTGCTGGAGGCTTTCTCATTGTTGGTTTGTGATTGATTATCTTCATCTAAAAATTAATCGTGGGTTGGGACTTCTGAGGCACAGGCATGCTAACATTTTGTCCATAGTCATCGTCTCCAATGTTGATTGCATCGTTGCCCCCAAATTTCTCCATGGAGGCCTTGGCGAAGTTACCTCTTGCTTGATCATCCCCACAGATGACAGCTAGGTTCTCATAGTGTCTCAGCGGCTTATTTATGTAATCTTTAAGCCTACTCTTATTTTTATCCTGCATGTAATCAATATCCACTTTAGTATACATAAGTGGAATTATTTGTTATTTAAACAAACCATTTTGAAGATATACACGCTTCATTTACCTCATTCCATGTGTCAAAACTCTCGGGGTCCAACATGATTGTTTGTGTTTCATCATCCCAACCTGCACCACTGATGTTAAAACTCTCGGGATCCAACATGATTGTTTGTGTTTCATCATCCCAACCTGCACCACTGATGTTACGAGCAGCCTGCATGTCTTGAAACCAAGAACGTATTGTTTTCATATGGTTGACAACACTCTTGGTTGCAAATGATGTACCAAATTGCTTGTTTACTTCAGCGGCCGCCATTACAAATGCATGGTGCTTAAAGTTCTTATCTGGTTTAAGACCAGACCTTGCCAAATTGGCTAGAAAGGGTATGAGCACGTCATCGTGGGTAGGGTCCACCATCTGGTTGGGGACACATGGGAAGCCGCTTCAACAAGTGGGGATTTTCATTTCTTGTGGGCAACAGCCTTATGCTTTTTGGGTGAACTAGCTGAAGTGGCTACTACTTCATCCCTTTCCAACCTTTTATTGCTACCTGAATCAGAAGTAGTCCTGGTAATACTAGTTGGAGAATGAAAGTATCCAGTGGAATTGGAGCCTTGAAATGGTTGTGGCAAAGATGGGGCGTTACTGAGAATGTGCATGTAAGATGAAAGGGGGTGAGGCATAGGGAAGTAGTTACCATCGGTATGCGGGACATTTGGAAAAACAGAGGGTGATTGCACATAAGGGGAGGATGGCTGGAATATGGGATTGAAGGGGTGATTGAACCCACTGCTAGCCGGAAATGCAGGAGAGGGCTGTTGGCTAATAGCTGGTGGGGAGTGAGTGGTGGTCCTCACGTTGGCCAAATCATTCCCATCATTGTTTGGATTATCAGCCATTTCCTATAGTTCAGCAATTCATATGTTAGGCACAAAAATAAGAAAAAGATGATACTGTTAAATTGCTATGCTAATGCAATAGAGCAACAGGTGGGATGAGTCACAGGAAAGCAGCATACAAGCAGCCCTAAAAATTCCAATGATCGTACATGACATAAAAGAGGAATACAGAGTAGCCATCACATTAACGTATTACAGAATGTTTAGAGACCCAGTAAATAAGTCACACTTTTGGTAATAACCAACTCAGAATAATGTAGCAACGAGAACAAAGTACGATATATGTTACAATGTTCAAGATCATAATAAACTACTAGCAACTGAAGGGAATTGTAGCAAATCACACCGCAGACTCAGCCATGTCACCATTTCGGTATTTACAACAATAGTCAGTCCACATGTCCAGAGCGATTTGATCTCTGCGATATCTCCACTCATCCTTAGAGGCACCTTGTTCTCTGACTGTTTGGGACTGCGAGAAATCAATAACGCCACATCCTGCATTAATTGCCTCTTCAGTATCATCCTCACAAATGTCGATATCCTCATTCAACAAGTCATCGTTTGGGTCCACTGTTGCAATGTAGTTATGGAGAACCGTGCATGCCAAGACAATGTTCACTTGAGTCTTGAAGGGGTAGTGGGGTTTTGCCGTAAGAATCTTGAAACGATTCTTCAATATACCAAATGTAGCTTCAATCCTTGACCTCAAAGAGGAATGCCTAAGATTGAATAACTCCCTCCTATTTTGAGGTGTTCTCCCCGTAAATTCCTTGAGATGATAACGGACACCCCTATACGGGGATATAAAACTCGGCTGGGTTGTGTACCCCGCATCACACAAGTAGTATTTACCTACATAATACAAAGTATTTTAATGAGAGATGACATAGAAAAATATTAGTGCGGATTGTTTGTTAGTTACCATTTACTTATGATGGATGAGATTGTTACCAGTGTACACCCGTAATCCATAAGGTTGTGGTCTAGATAAAGCATCTTAAAGGATTCTATAATCGTTAGCCGACCCCTCCCACCCAGCTAAAACGTAGGTAAACATTTTGTTTGGTGTGCAAGCGGCAAGAATATTTTGTGTGACACCTTTGCGCCCTCTGAAACGCGGGACAAGTGAGGCAGGTAGCATAGCGTCCACATGTGTCCCATCTATCATACCTATGCAATCCTATATAGTTCCAATTGCTATGTTAATAAGATGATTGCGTAGTTAAGAGATTTAGTTACGCTAATAGGTAGAGTAGTTGTTATACCTTGAAAAAGGGATAGAAAGATGTATTGGTTTGGATTTCCTGAGGCACTTCATTTGGTGCTTGTTTCATATATCGGCCTTGTATGCATGAAATTGCTTGCAATACTCTGTTAAAGTATAAACTAACTGTCTCCCCTGATCGTATAAATTGCGTTCTCATCATACGATTTTTGGATTTATGCCCCAATATATTCAACGTTATAGCTAGCTGCTCCTCTATAGTAATAAATCTTGTGTCCTTTAGGAGATGACTTGTCCTCATTATCTTTGCTAGTTTAATAAAAGCACCCGATCGTATTCTTACAAAGTTTTGACAGGTATCACTAAACCCGTGATGGATACGACTCATCAACTCTGCCCTAGTCTTTTTATGCCTTAGTCTCTCTGCACTTCGGCCAGATCGTATCGATCTGCGGCGAGACTTCATTCTGGCCAAAAAAGTGACAACTAGAACAATGATAGAAAATGCAGCCCCGGCACACATTCTTATAACACTCTCTTCATCAACATAATCACCATCCATCTATAAATTAGTGCTAAGAAATTAGAATTATACAAACAAACCAAAAAGAAGCGTAATAAACACGTTTTAAAAATTCTATAGGACTGCTTTGGACTTGATAATACTCATTTCTCAAACTTTCAATTACAGTAGATATGGAAATAGGTTGCTTAACAAGGCTAAACTATGCATGCATGCTAATTACTGGGGTTAAGAGCAGAAATAGACAAGTGATAATGGGTGTCAAAACATCACAAATGGAGCCATCAGTTCGACCAAAAGAGAGGATCAAGTTTTACGCACAAATGAGAACCTACAGCTTTTGAGGATCAATGCATTTTAGGATATTGCAATGAAATGAAGATCTACTACAAAGTTAAACCTCCAAATTACAGAAAATGAAGACCTTCTTTCGAAGTGGCCAACCCAAAAAAGTGAAGGTTATACCCATAATTAAAAAATAATCTAACAACCAAAAATACGAGGCATGCAACTGCTTTTGAACCTCTGTTGCTAAGATCGACTAATGAAAACCAACTATCAGCGTCGAAACCCAAATATTGTTTTCAAAAACCAACTATCAGCGTCGAAACCCAAAATTAACAGTCAAAAGCCAAATATTAGCGTCTGAACCAAAGCAATTCAAGATCTTACAGCTGCATGTTCTAAATCATTCAACCAGACTGCTTTTGCTGCAAAGGAAAAGAACGAGAAAGAGAGATCGAACCTCGTTGCTTTTTGGGTGAGCGAAACCCCAAGTATTTGCAATAATCACGGATCAGCTCAAGAGGGACTTTCCCCTTCTGCTAGATCTCCCTACACAGAACAAGGACAAGAGGAAACTACCTCTTCTGCTAGATCTAGAGCAGCTGCCCAGCAACGGGGGATGAAGCTAAGAAATCGCCATCTTCAGATCCAAAGTTGTAGCAAAATAAATTGCGAAACAAGGAGCAGAGCTATGGCGAAGAGTCGAAGAAGAGGAACAGTCAATGGCGGTGAAGCTAACCACAAAAGAAGGAAAAAGAGGAAACCCTCTTCAGCAGATCGTCGCTTCGATCCGGCTGCCGACCATTTAAAAAATCGCCGAAGTGACATTTCCATCTGTTTTCAGCTCATTTTGGGCTGAAAACACATTTCGTGAAAAAAATGACGTGGACACTCATTTCACAGCCCTATTTCTCAAAAAGTGTTGGCAATCCAAACAGATGAAATGGAAAATAGTGGAAACCAAAATCTGAGGTGGCACCCACTTTAGATTTCATTTCCTTGTTTTCTCTGTTTTTTTGGCCAAACAAACAGGCCCTAAACGGAAAGGATCCAAAGCCATACGAATATACTGACTGTGGCCGTACGAACTTTTCCAAACACCAACGTACAAGTAGACGTAGTTGTAGCTAGTCTACATATCGAACCCATTTATTATTGAAACAATTCATCATAACAAAATAGTTACATATTAAATTATTTATAAAATCATAATATTACTACAATGTTGAACGGCAAACAGCTACACATTCACATATATCAATCACCCTCTTATATATCTGAAATGTACGACTCCGTAAACAAATTCAAGATTACACATCACCCGTTCAATTGATCAGCCAAGCTGCAGCAGACCCGGACGCACTTGCAGCCAAAACCAACTCCTCCTCCCTCCTCAACGTCGGCCTAATCGCCTCCCTCATGTCCAACTCCTCCCCATCCACAACTTCCCAATCGAAACAGTGAACCAAGTGAGCCAACGCAATCTCCACCGTCGCCAACCCGAACCCGATCGCAGGGCACATCCTTCTCCCCGCGCCAAACGGCAAGAACTCGAAGCTCCCCCCTCCAAAATCAACTGAACTCTCCTCGAACCTCTCCGGCCTAAAGCTCTCCGCGTCGTCCCCCCAGATTCCTTTGTCCCTCCCCATCGCCCACACGTTGACAGCGACCCTGGTCCCTTCGGTGATGTGGAAGCCGTCGATGTCGCAGGGCTCGCGGCGACCGGAGGGTGGAGCCGCAGGGTCTCCTTGATCACTAGTTTTAGGTAGTGGAGGTTGAGGAGGTCTTTTTCTTGTATTTTGTGTTTGCTGTTTAGGACTTGATCGAGCTCTTGTTTGCATTTTTGCATGGTGTCGGGATTCTTGCATAGCTCTGACATTGCCCATTCCAGGAGGGATGACGTTGTGTCTGTTCCTGCGAAGAACATGTCCTGCGTATGAATTGGCCGAAGGTAATTAAGTGAGTTTTGTGATCTCAAACGTTGATTATTTAGTAGGCGGTTATGATACAATTTAAATCTAACACTTACCATACCCTCGTGTATTACACTCATTCCTAATTTGCACTAAAAGAAAAAATCATAACCATCAACTAGATAATCAATGGCTATGATTATGTAGTGGTCCCTCCACTATTTTTTTTGTAGTGGAGAGGATCCGAATCCATATTGTTGGATTTGGATCCTCTCTACTACAAAAAAGTAGTGGAGAAACCATTACTTTTAATCTCAAACGTTGATTATTTAGTAGGCGGTTATGATACAATTTAAATCTAACACTTACCATACCCTCGTGTATTACACTCATTCCTAATTTGCACTAAAAAAAAAATCATAACCATCAACTAGATAATCAATGGTTGTGATTATGTAGTGGTCCCTCTACTATTTTTTTTGTAGTGGAGAGGATCCGAATCCATATATTGTTTTGATGTTGAATATTACATTGTTGAAATATAGAAACATATTTTTCACTGATAAAAAATATTCCCCTGCGTGATTTTAGCCACTAGCTAGTGAGAATTATGATTAACACTCCGGGGGTTTCCTAATATAATATAATAAAATCTTTTCAGTTAAAGATTAAGATGCATAATTATATATATGTCTTTAAATATAATAATAACGCAAAATATATGCTCAACCTGCATTTTTTAACTTAACATGGGATTTATTTACAAGGCTACAATATAAATATGACTACTTAAAGCGAGCAATAGTATATACTTAATATTGTCAACGTCGACTTTTATTAGTGATCTTTAATCATCTAAGTTTTTATTTTTCCATCCAAATGAAGTCGACCGCTAAGTAGGCTCCATGAATATATGACAAAGTTTTGCAGTACTATACAATTAAATGTCAAATTATAGACGAGGAAGGAGAGATTGTTACCAAGGACCAAATGTATTAATTGGATCTACCAAACCCTATTTGGCTGTCTAACATTATAAGGAAAATATATATATATGCTATGTTAACGTATATTTGGGATTGCCCATTGATTTCCCATTGATTATGCAATATATTTGGGATTGCCCATTGATTCCCCATTGATTGTGCAATATATTTGGGATTGCCCATTGATTCCCCATTGATTTTCTTCCTTTTTATTTCTTTCCTTTATAGCTGGTTGATGTATGTATATATAGACATGTAATCTCATTGTAATACAACAAGAAAGGGAAGATATTTTCAATATATCTAACATGGTATCAGAGCTCTGCTCTTAAATCAGATCACCAACCTCTATCTTCTCTCTCTCCTCTCGTGCCCTCTTCGCGTCGCCGGCGAACCGCCGCCCGACCGCCGAGACCTCCGTTCGACCACCACCGAGCTCGAACCCGATCCCGCCTCTGAGACAGGGCTTCGCCGCTCAACCGGTCGCCAGCGAACTTTTCCGTCCAGATCCGCGCCTTCCGTCGCCTCCTCCGGTCAGATCCTCGCTTCCCGTCGCCCAGAACCGATCAGATCTGCTCTCCTTCTCAACTGTCATACATAAAAGTGTGACTTTTGTGGGTTTTAGTTCTCTTATGTTTGGTTCTTCTTTGGGGTTTGTTGATATGGAGAAATCTGAAATCTTTCGTCCTATTACTGTTATTTTGGATGGCTCTAATTATACTCTATGGTCTCAACGAATGAAAAGCTTCTTAATTGGACGCAAGCTTTGGCGCATTATTACTCGCGATGTTATTGAACCAGTCCGAGATGTTGATGAAAACAATACCAAGTATGCAGAACGTCTTGAAGATTGGGATAGCAAAAATCATCAGATAATTACCTGGTTATGTAACACCTCTATTTCAGCCATTCATATCCAGTTTGCTGATTTTGATACTGCAAAAGAAATTTGGGATTTCTTGTCCAATCGGTACAAAACTACAGGTCTTGCACACTATTATCAACTGCTCACAACTCTTGCCAGTCTTAAACAAGACTCCGGACAATCTGTTAATGACTTCCTTGCTGTCATTCAGCCTATATGGAATCACTTAGCACAAGCTAATATCAGTGATGATCATCTTCGCCTTATTCAGGTTCTCATGGCTCTACGTCCTGAATATGAATCTGTTCGTGCTGCTCTGTTGCATCGTGATCCTTTACCCTCTTTGGATGCTGCTGTTAAAGAAATCTTATTTGAGGAAACACGTCTTGGTTTGATCAAATCTCCCTCACCGGAAGTTGCTCTTGCTATCACTCGGCCACGTTCTGCATCTGGCTCATTTTTGTGCAAGAATTGTAGAAATACTGGACATACATTTGCAAATTGCCCTACTATTGAGTGCAGATACTGTCACAAACATGGTCATATTTTGGAAAATTGTCCAACCCGTCCACCTCGTCCTCAAGGCACTTCAACAAAATCTAAGTTTTTCTCTAAGGCTAGTTCTTCTGCTGCTGCTGTTACTGCTCCTTCTGATGAGTCCCCTTCCTCTGTTCTTAATGTTAGCGATCTCGAAGCTCTTCTCAGACAGGTGATATCCTCCAATCCTTCATCTTCCACTGCATTAGCTGTCACTGCAGGTGATTCTTGGTTTCTTGACTCTGCTTGTTGCAATCATATGACTTCTCAAATGTCTCTCTTATCTAATAAAACTTCTAGCAAATTTCTGCCACCCATTCAAACTGCTGATGGTAATTGTATGTCTATTACCCATATTGGAACAGCAGCTACCTCTAATCTAAACCTTCCTGATACTTATTGTGTCCCTAAATTATCCCTAAACTTAGCCTCGGTTGGTCAATTATGTGATCTTGGTCTAACTGTTCTTTTCTCTCCCCATGGTTGTCAGGTTCAGGATCTTCAAACGGGACAGATAATTGGCACGGGGCGCAAGGTGGGACGATTATTTGAGCTCACATCTCTTAAAGTTTCTGCTCCCAGATCGATTTCTGCTTCCACCACCATTCCATTAATATACCAGTGGCATCTTCGTCTTGGTCATGCATCCGCTAGTAAACTTCGTCCTTTAGTTTCTAGTGGAACTTTAGGTCTTTCCAAATTTGAGTCTTTTGATTGTTTACATTGTCAACTCGCAAAACAGCCTGCCTTATCTTTTAATCATAGTAACTCTAAATGTGATACTCCTTTTGGCTTGATTCATTCTGATATTTGGGGTCCTGCTCCTACTCCTACTGTGAATGGTTACAAATACTTTGTTTTATTCATTGATGATTATTCTAGATTTACATGGATATATTTTCTTAAGCATAGATCTGAATTATCTCAAATTTATATTGATTTTGCTACCATGATTACAACTCAATTTTCTTGCTGTATCAAAATTTTTCGTACTGATAATGCCATGGAATATCAAGATTCTACTCTTCTTCAGTTTCTCAAACAGCAGGGAACTATTGTTCAAAGATCATGTCCTTATACCTCCCAACAAAATGGTCGTGCAGAACGTAAACATCGTCATATCTTAGATTCTGTTCGTGCTCAACTTCTTTCAGCATCCTGTCCTGAAAAATTTTGGGGTGAGGCTGCACTTACCTCTGTTTACACCATTAATCGTCTTCCTACTCCGGTCCTTCAGAATCTGTCTCCTTTTGAACGATTATATGGTAAACCACCTGATTACTCAAATCTTAGAGTTTTTGGTTGTGCTTGTTTTGTTCTTCTTAACCCCCATGAACATACCAAACTTGAACCGCGGGCTCGTCTTTGTTGTTTTCTTGGATATGGACAAGAACACAAAGGATATCGGTGTTGGGATCCTATGTCTGGTCGGTTACGAATTTCTCGTCATGTCACTTTTTGGGAGCATACCATGTTCTCCACTCTGTCTAAATTTCATAGTTCTTTTTCCGCCTCTCAACCATTCTTCACTGACCCTTCCATTGAGTTATTCCCTTCCTCTGATACAGAATCTTTAGTTGAGCTTGATAATTCTCCTTCCACCTCTGCACCCACATCTACAGCATCTGTCTCCACTGATGATCCTGAACCTCCTCTTCGTCGCTCTAATCGGATAAGAGAATCTCCTCATCATCTTCAAGATTATCATTGTTTTTCTGCTATTGTTTCTTTACAAGAACCACATTCTTACCGTGAGGCTAGTACTGATCCTCTCTGGCAGCAAGCAATGTCTGAGGAACTTCATGCCTTAGAGAAAACACATACTTGGGATTTAGTGGATCTTCCTTCAGGCAAAACTCCTATCGGATGTAAGTGGGTTTACAAGATTAAAACTCGGTCTGATGGTTCTGTCGAGCGTTATAAAGCTCGTTTAGTTGCTAAAGGCTATACTCAGGAATATGGCATTGATTATGAAGAAACATTTGCTCCTGTTGCTCGTTTAACCTCTGTTCGTAGTCTTTTAGCTGTTGCTGCAGTAAAACATTGGCCCCTTCTTCAGATGGATGTTAAAAATGCTTTTCTCAACGGCGATTTGGAAGAGGAAGTTTACATGCATCCTCCTCCTGGTTATTCTCATCCTCCACAAAAAGTTTGTCTTCTTCGGAGAGCTTTATATGGTCTTAAGCAAGCTCCGAGAGCATGGTTTGCAAAATTCAGTTCCACTATTGCACGTTTTGGTTTTGCTTCTAGCCCTCATGATTCGGCCTTATTTATCCGTCGTACTGAGAAGGGTATTGTTCTGTTGTTACTTTATGTGGATGATATGATCATTACAGGTGATGATTCTGTGGCCATCTCTGACTTACAAAACTACCTCAGTCAACAGTTTGAGATGAAAAATTTGGGACCACTCAGTTATTTTCTCGGGCTTGAAGTCTCTTCTTCTTCAGATGGCTACTATTTGTCCCAAGCCAAATATGCTTCTGATTTGCTTTCCAGATCTGGTCTCACTGATTCAAATATTGCCTCAACACCATTGGATACCAATGTTAAGCTAACACCATTTGATGGCACACCTCTTCCTGATCCTACTTTATATAGACAGCTTGTTGGTAGTCTTGTTTATCTGACCGTGACTCGTCCTGATATCGCCTATGCTGTGCATGTTGTCAGTCAGTTCATGGCTGCTCCTCGGTCTATTCACTTTACTGCTGTTCTTCGTATTCTAAGATATGTCAAAGGCACTCTTCTTCATGGACTTCATTTTTCTGCTCATTCGTCCTTAATTTTAACTGGCTATTCTGATGCTGATTGGGCTGGTGATCCTACTGATCGTCGCTCCACAACTGGTTACTGCTTCTTCTTGGGTGACTCGCTCATTTCATGGAGAAGTAAAAAGCAAACTGTCACATCTCGATCAAGTACTGAATCTGAATATCGGGCCCTAGCTGATACTACTTCTGAATTACTTTGGCTCCGTTGGTTACTTGAGGATATGGGAGTTCCACAATCCTCTGCTACCATTCTCCATTGTGACAATCGAAGTGCAATTCAAATTGCTCATAATGATGTTTTCCACGAACGCACCAAACACATTGAGAATGATTGTCATTTTGTTCGTCAACATCTTCAGCGTGGCACCTTGCAACTTCTTCCTATATCCTCAATAGATCAGCCTGCAGACATTTTCACTAAAGCTCATCTTCCTGGCCGATTCTGTCATTTACTTAACAAACTCAAGCTGGCCTCCACTAGCCCATCTTGAGTTTGAGGGGGGGTGTTAACGTATATTTGGGATTGCCCATTGATTTCCCATTGATTATGCAATATATTTGGGATTGCCCATTGATTCCCCATTGATTGTGCAATATATTTGGGATTGCCCATTGATTTCCCATTGATTTTCTTCCTTTTTATTTCTTTCCTTTATAGCTGGTTGATGTATGTATATATAGACATGTAATCTCATTGTAATACAACAAGAAAGGGAAGATATTTTCAATATATCTAACATGCTATTTTAATTCTATAGAAAATTATATTTAAACTTGAATAATACATAGAATCGAGAGGTAAGTTCTCTAATTAATAATTAATTAATACTAATTATAGATATGGATAAGTTATAATTGATGGGATCTAGGTCCTCTCCTATTAGAAAGTGAGAGAGAGTCTAATTACCATAATCCTTATCATCCACTTCAATTTAAGTGGATTATATTCAGCCACCTAAGATGTTCAAAATCACAATAGTGACTTTCAGAGTAGTGGTCAAGCCAATAGTTCAAGATAATAATAATAATAATAATAAATCTTACATGACTAAATATTATCTGTTTAATGAATGTTAAAGGTAGGGATGATTGGATCCTCTTTGCACTAAAATGCATTTTGATTCTTTGGTCAATCTTCATACTATGATATGATGGCATAATTCTAAGCAATTTGTATTAGGTTCTTAATTTCCTTTTACATGGCTGTATCACCTAATTAATACACTAAACTGAGTGCTATGTCTGTTTTTTATCCTCCTCCTCCTCCTCCTCCTCCTCTCTCTTGCTCTCTCTCATCTATATATTTGTAAGCTTAGAAAAGTTGAAAAGCCAATTAACTAATATTGTCTAAAGCATTAATATATCATTTTCAACCTAATTAAATATTCTACTTGCCACGCTAGCTAGCTAGAAAAGTGGTAGCTTAAAATGGGGAAAATTTGCAAAATAGATCATTTTTATGAAATATATAGCGAAATAGACCACTTTGAAAAATAATTAGTAAAATAGATCTCTTTTGAAAAAAAGAGGTCGATTTTGAAAAACAAGGCTCAGAAAACATACGGGACTACTAGTCCCGTATGTTTAGAGCCAACTAATTACGGATTAGTGACTCAGAAAACATACGGGACTAGTAGTCTCGTATGTTTTCTGAGTAGAAAATTTTACTAATCCGTGATTAAAACATACGGGACTACTAGTCCGTATGTTTTCTAAGCTGTTTTGCAAAATAGACCTCTTTTTGGCCTGTTGGCCAAAAAGAGGTTTATTTTGCTAATTATTTAGAGCTGTTTTGCAAAATAGACCTCTTTTTGGCCTGTTGGCCAAAAAGAGGTTTATTTTGCTAATTATTTAGCAAAACGGTCTATTTTGCTAAATAATTAGCAAAAACGGTCTATTTTACAATTTTTCCCATTAAAATGTGCAAATATTTCATACTTATGTCAAGAAACAGTTAATTCCTTTATACGAAATAGGGTAAACTAATTTACTCACAATAATTGTAGCTTTGATGTTATCCATGGTGATAGGCACTTCAAGCTCCCCACTCTCACTAACCCTGAGCAAAACATCAACCAAATCCTCATCCTTACTCTCTCCTCCTCCCTCCTTTAACCCCATCATCTTCTTCTTCTTCTTCTTCTCTTGATGCTCTCTTATCACCCTATCCAACATCCCATCCATTTGCCCACGAACCCTCTCTATCAATCTAACTGTCGGAACGCTAATCAAATCCACAACCTTAGAAGTAGGAAATATGTCGACCATCCTAAAACTCGAAGCGAACACAATCAACTCCTCCGCGGTCTTCAGGAACATCTCCGCGTCTTCACGAGCCATACTAAACACAGCTCTACATATAACCCTGTTCGCCATCGCCGCCACCATCTTAGTCACGTTCACCGGCGAACTTTTCCTCGTCGAAATATCTTTGACTAAATTTGCGCTCTCTTGTTCCATGAGCGAGTAGAACGACCGAACGCGGTTGCTTGATAACAGATGGAGGACGCAGATCTTCCGAAGCTGGCGCCAGTAGGCGCCGTAAGGGGCGAAAGTGAGGTTGGTGGTTTTATAACCTGCGATTTTTGTGGTTAGTAGTTCGGGGCGAGAGGCGAAGTTGATGTCGTTGGTTTTGGTGACGGATTTGGCGAGGTCGGGGGAGGAGACGACGACGAAGTCGACCTGTCCGAGCTTGAGGTGCATGATGGGGCCGTGCTTTGTGGCGAGATCGCGGAGAGTTCGGTGAGGGGGTTTGTAGGCGAGGAGGTGGGCGTTTCCTATGATGGGGAGGTTCCATGGGCCTGGGGGGAGTTTTTTCTTCTCCTTGTTGTGGTTGCTCGTGAGGATGTATAGGATGAGGATTGAGAGGAAGGTGAAGAGAAGAGGGAAGGATGGGAAGTGGAGTTCCATGGTTTTTGTGAAATGGTGGTGGTTGTCTCTCGATCTGTTTAATTATAGGAGCTGGCCGGGGAGGGGAAGGACGTTGTATTTTTCTAGTTGTACGGAAGTGGGAGGAGGTGACAAATCCATATATACTAGTAATTAAAATTTAATCCACAAAAACCAAGTCAATTCTAGTAGAGGTTTTCGTCAAGAAAACACGAAAGAATGGATCAGATTTATCTTAACCAATTTAAAAGCTCTTAATTTTTGAATCACGCATCAATCGTAATGAGCACCTTAACAAATCGTCAGTGTAAGTGGAATGTTCTCTTCCTACTACCCCTGTAGAACCGACGAGAAATTTTGGATCAGAACAGGTTTGGAGGCGCATGAGTCGTTTTGGGTGCTGTGCGGTCGACCGCGAACGTGCACAAAGCAGAGTAGAAGTCTGGATTTGGCGCGGTCGACCGCGAGACCCTGTAGGCGAATTTGGTCTCTGTCGCTAGATCGCGGTCAACCGCGAGCTTTGGGCGGTCGACCGCCAATCGGGTCAGTGCATGTTTTGTGTTTCCTGTTCTTATTGGGTTTGGTGTTTGCTATAAATACAAACATACGAATTAAGGTTTCTTTAGCTTTGTTTGGAGATTGGTTTGGGGATATTTGGAGCACAGAAAAATGAGAGTTTTTCTGAGCAATTGTTTGAGAGTTTATTTGGAGAGATTAAGGTACCGTTTGGCAAAGGGTTAAGTGAGGGGTTAAGGAGACTTAACCTCTTCTTAACCTGCCAAACACAACAAATCTATATAAGGGTTAAAGTGAGTTAACCCTCAATAATTTGTCAAACATAAAAAATATAGAATGGTTAAGTTAACCCCTCTAGAGGGGTTAAAATGAGTTAACCCCTCAAAATGAAGGGTTTACTAATACTCCTATTTAGATGGAATAAGAGTTAACCCTTCTAATTATAAAGAAAATAGTCAAAATCATTGTTATTTTCAAACACTAAAATTGATCCTAAGGGCTAAAATAAAACTTATTTAACGGGTTAATAATTTAGTCATTCGGATTATCAAATGGGCTAAGTACATTAATCATTCTCTTTATAACCCCTCTTCCTTAACCCTTTGCCAAACGGGGCCTAAGAGATTTAAGGTGAGATTAGTTGCTTGGTTTGAGCGTTTTGTAATCTCAGTTTGTACTCTTCTTCTCTATTAGTGAAAACTCAATCCCCTTCTTGCCCCGTGGACGTAGGTAATTTGTCGAACCACGTAAAATTATTGTGTTTGGATTTGTGCCATTGTTTTGATTTATTTGGCCTTTATCTCGGCGTTTGTTTTGGTTTGGTTCTCGAAGCACGCACGTTTGGTTGTCCCGCTTCCGCTCCACGCACACCACCCCCAAGAGAGAAGTTGGTAATTAATTTGACTAGTTTAGCTGTTTAATTCAACTTTATCTTCTGCCCCCCTATCCATGACGCATGTTTTAAATTTATAGAGATTGTGGTAAAAGTTTGATGTTATTATGGTATCACTCTCTTTTGGAGTTTGAAAATAGGCACTTTGCTCATTAGTCCCTAACAATTAACAAATCGAGCTAGCTTATTTGGATTTATTTTAAAAACAAAAAATGTTTCCATGCATTGCCAAACAAAAGAAACAATTTCATGAGTGAAGATCACTTTTCATATGCTTCTTTTATAACTCGTAAATCCCTTCAAATCGCTGGATTAATAGATTCTCATTTGGCATATTTAATGAGACGAACAAGAGTTGGGGGATAATATATTAATATTGGTCTTGTTAAAAGCGACTGGTTTCGGTTTCTTTGGTGCCAACGGTGGAATCATAAGACGGCAGTATATAAGTATATATGTATGGCTTTTAAGAATTTGCACCGTAGATTGCCAAGCTGCCATGTTTCTATGCTAGAAAACAAACTTTCACCGTCTCATAGTTCCTAAAATTGAGTTTCTTTGGAATTTTGCAAAATAAGTAATCCAAGACGAGAAGATCAGACACAATAATATCTATTAATCTATGAGAGAGATAATTGAGATTTTCATTTGATCACCAAGAGAATAAAAGCCGGCTATGGATTTATCACACCTCATCGTTCTAATGTCTAATTAATCCTTTCAACAAAGCCAAAGAAGTTATGGCGTCACTTGTCATGCGCGAGAAGACGACATTTTTTTATTTACTAGTTGAGATGCACGTGCAATGCACGTGGTTGAATATCATGATTATTTAAATTGATAATATTATAAAAATAAAAAAATAAAGTTTTTTGTGGGATTGATCATCAACTCAATAATCTTTCTCTCAAATAAAATATTGTTATTGTTTCCTTCAACCCAGACTTTGGCTACTATTTGTGAGTTATAAACATATTAATTTAGTACAACATCTCTATTTATTAGTATTTTGAAGTCTTCAAAAGAAGAGTGATCATTTAATTCGCAAAAGAATTTTGCATATGAATATACTTATAATATGTCCATTAAACTTTTAGTTGTGGTTTGACTCATATTCATGTTAACTTTTAGTTGACGTTTCGCTCATAATTATATTATCTAATATTCTCATTCAATTTTATAGAATATTCTTGGTATCATAAAAGTAAAACTGAAAGTATGAAGAATTATTTTTTTACAAAATTAGAACAAGAAAATGATGATATATTTCGCCATGTGCTCTAAATATAAATTTTTTTCTTTGATGCAAGGTCCCTATCAAATTTTATCCCAAATGATGTGAATAAAAAATGCTATTATAATTCACTTGCTTATAACGATTGTATTGTATATAGGATACATAACTCATCTAGAATAACCATATCTTCTAAGTGGATTTTGCTGTTGTGAGAGCAACATGTTAGAGGTTCGTATTCAAACTTTTTGGCTCTATAAAAGACACAAGAATTTAGAGTGCATAGCTTATATATCGTAAAGAGTATATTAATTTATGAAGAATTTTTTTTGATAATGATATTATTATAATAATATTACTATTCAATATTAAATCACTTTTATTATATAAGATTATATGACCATTTTTGATAAATTATAAAGTATATATATGAAAAGCTTGATGCTTATAGCTAGTAGTTGGGCTCCACAAAATATGTTAATTTTACATTGTAGTTTGTTATTTATAATACTGTTGGCAATGTCATTATCTTTCCTCTTTACCTCATTATTCACATTTTTCTTATGTAAGTTCTCTTTTGCTAATCATTCAATTGACTATATTTAATTTTTATAATATCATATGTTAGAATATTTTCTTCTATTTAAAAAGTATTAACATGTTTTTCTTAAAAAATATATACACACAGTAACAATAGTATATACTTCAGTGCAATTCAAACATTAGCTTGAAGCTATTTAGAGTGAGGTCTTTTCTATGCCAGAATGGTAATATAATGATTACACAGTCTAAAAGTCATAAAAGAAATTTTTACAAAAGAAAAGTAATTTAATATGTCAAATTAGGAAGTAATTTATAAAATATACATAGGTAGTGTAAATAGCTATAGAAAGTAAGATATATATCTTCATTAAAATTTTATAGTGAGTTGTTAGACCCTAGAGGGGGGGGTGATTAGGGTCTTATGCTAATCTAATCCGATTAAATACCAATTAAAAACTAATTAACAAGTTATCCTAGCAAGTATGAAATATAACAAGATATGTGATCTAGGATGAGCAATATGAACAACAAGATATATCCTAAATGATAGAAATATATGCAAGGATATATAAACAACACAAGGGTAAATAATCTAAATAGGATAGTGGATGAAATGAATGAGCAATGCACAATTGGCGATATAAGATGAATGCAAAAAGAAATACGCCAAAGACAAACTCAAACAAACAATATGATCACGGAGTTCGGACCTTCATGAGCAATGCACAATTGGCGATATAAGATGAATGCAAAAAGAAATACGCCAAAGACAAACTCAAACAAGCAATATGATCACGGAGTTCAGACCTTCCGTCCTACGTCTACGCTCCCCACTCCCGGGGAGAAATCCACTATCAACCGGGTTTTCTACCTTCACCCGAACAACGTTTACACCTCACACTCGGTTTTCTAGCTAACCGAAAACTTTACAATCAACACACTATCGTAATCCCACTCTACACTCACTAAGTGTTGGACCTAGACGTGTCTCACTCAAGTGCTCGGTTACAACCTCTCCCTAGGCTCGTCAACCGACGCCACTCCTCTTGGGACGATCCCCGACTCTCACCACACACTCCTCACTCGGTGTACAAGTGTATTACAAAGTGAATCTCACAATAAGCACAATATAACAAATTATTATTCTCAACTATGGATGAGAACACAATGAAAGCACAACTCGAAGTTACAATCTCTCACCACCTAACTATACTATGTATGTAAATACTAAAAGCTCAATGTGGGTGTGTGTAACAATGAGTAATATAAAATCAAATCTAAACTCAATATAAAACTAGCTTTAGTAGAAATGATAATTAACAAATAATTATAAGTAAAAGCTAAAGTTGAGTTTAGAAAAACTTCTCTAGATCAAGATGGAGAGATGGAGATTTGAGGCTCAAACAATAAGATAATCTCCTCCACTTGTGAAAGCTAAAACTGCTTTAAACCAAATCCTTAAACAAGCTTAAACTCTTTTTAAAACCCTTGTTTAAAAACTTCTTGGCTTTTTTTTAAAACATTTCTTGAGTGCTTGAAAAGAGATCAGCAATTGGGTATTTATACCCACTCAAGATCTTAACAAGAACCTCAAACCAAATGACAAAACAGCCCCAGACAAATCAGCTCATAAATAGTCGTTAGGAGACAACGGCTCTATTGTCGGTCGACCGAAAATTCAGTCGGTCGACCGATGGAGCGAAAAAGGTCGGTCGACCGAAAATTCAGTCGGTCGACCGA